AAAGTATAACACAACATACGAGAAATTTTATTTTAGACTTTGTGCACTAACAAGGATATATCCTCAAAAAACCTAATTTCAAACCTAAAGTTCAATGATGATCATGAACTCCTTATATAAAAAGTAAATTATTTTATATTTCTTTAACCAAAAAGAGAACTACAGCTGTCCCATATAGGATAATTGAATTTTCTCTTCCCCTCTAGCAAGATACAAAAAAAACCTTCTATTGAACTTGGTTGTCTATTTTGATGATAAATGCTATTAAGCTAGTTGGTTCATGTGCATTCTGAGCAAGTTAGTTCTATGTCTATTAATCGGTGTAAGATCAACAAACATAGAGAGGGATACTTGACAGAATGAAGATCCTTTTTTTGAATGTCAGGGCTCTCAATAGTGTTTCCTGCAATACAGATGTGGTTTCTTTTTGTAAAAAAGAAATACCAGATCTCTTGTTGTTTCAAAAAACCAAATTGGAGGCTTCGAGTACCACTCTGCTCATCAGGTGTGGGGTAACAAACCTTTGGATTTTTTGGAGTGAATGCTTTAGGTGTGTCAAGTGGCATATGGCTGCTTTGGAATAGTTTTTCAGTATTTTATCACTCAAAGACACGTTTCAGTTGTTTTCAAGGACCTTACAACCCATTTCAGCTTTTTTCAAGGACTTTTAGATATCTTTTTTTGGTGTTTATCTGTGGTTTATGGTCTTAATAGATCAAATGAAAGCTGTTTTTTTTTTTATAAACTCTTTGCTGTTATTCACACATTCAATTTGATGTGGTGTATTTGTGGTGAATTTTAATATCATCTGTTGGCCTAGTGAATCCTCTTCCAATCGTTATATATATCCTTGCATGCATCTTTTTTAATCATTTATTCAACAACATAAGTTGATTGATAGTCCTTCAATAGGAGCTAATTTCACTTAGTCGAATCACAATTTGAGTGACCATGCTCTTATTAGGCTGGATGGATTTTTACTTACATATGCATTTATTAATCTATTTCCAATTTGGGGATGAAAGCCTTACCTAAAATTGCCTCAGATCATGTTACCTCTACTCCTAAATTCGGATGGCTTTTCTTTTGGTCCTGCCCCCATTAGATTTGAGTTGACTTAGCTTTCAGAGCGTTCTCTTATATACTTTGTTGAGGAATTTTGGAAATATATAGTAGTAGATGGTTGGAAAGGCTTTCAATTGACCAAAAAATTACAATTGCTGAAAGAAAAAATAATTGGTTGGAGAAAATCTGTGTGGAGCAATTTGCAGTCTAAAATTGGTGAGGCAAGAGGTTACATTGAGGATATGGATAATTTGCAGTTTATGGGAAACTTCACAAGCTAGAAAAAAGTCAGTAATAGAAGTTTATGGGTGGCTAAGTACAAAGAATTACTTAGGTTGGAAGATATTCTTTGGAGACAGAGATCTCAGGTGAAGTGGTTGAAGGAAGGGGATAATTGAAAGAAAGACCTATGTGATCTTTTATCGGGGAATACATTTTTTTTTTTTTTTTCCTTTACCCATTCTTTTGGCAAAAGATAGCTTACAGGTGGTCTTTATTACAATAAGATAAATTTCAAAATAAAATCAACATAACAATAAAACCAAGATTTTAATAACTTGATGCCATTGAAACAACTATGCACTATGCTTAAGGATAAAAGATAAGATTGCAATAAACCAAAAGAAGAGTACTGGATATTACCTCAACTAGGCTTATTACACCCCACACCGAGTTATCACCATCCGATGGCACGGGATCAATGATCAACGTTCAATCTCAACTGGGAAAGCTAGTTTAGGCCAAGCCACACTAATAGAACATGGACTCGTTTGATCACAAACTCAAACCCTAAGTGAATTCTCTTAGCAACCTAGTTTGAGAAAGATAAATTATCTTTTTGCTAAACCCTAAAACCCCTAGCTATAAATCCATAGTTGAGAGAGAAGAACTTCATAACTTAAACGTTTAGGTTCTTTCATAATGTGGGAGAGAGAGATCAAAGATGAGAAAGTGGTGCATGCCCCCTTTGGCTTTCATGAGAGAGATAAGATTTTTTGAGAGAGATAAAATCTTTTCTTGAGAGAGAGAGAAGCATTTCTTGAGAGAGAAAAAAATTCTAAGTGGGGCATGCTCCTTTGTGGGATATGAGAGAGAAATATGACAATTAAGTACAAGAGATAAGGTGTAGAGGTTTTTAGTAGAGACAATCTATTTTTATAGGCTTTGAATAAGATTAACGTTTTTTAGGGTTTTTCTTGGGGTTTTCATTGGCTTGGCTCTTCTTGTGAGATTGAATATGAACCATTGATCTTGGGTGACTTGTGGGGTGAGAGATTTGAGCCATCAACTTCATAGATGAGGCATCAACATTATGGAAGGTGCATGAACTATTATCCCCATTTTCTAAACTATTTTTCCATCAATAGAAATTCAATAAATTAAATTTAGTCAAAATATTGTTTGTACCACAAAATAGCACAAGTCTACTTAATTTTTCTACAAAATATTTTAAAGATACATCAAGTCAATATTTAGTTAATATCTTCCAATCATATGTCCACATGTCATATCACCAAAAAATAGGAAAGAGAATAAGGGTAGGGCGTGCCACCCAAGGGAGGCACTTATGAGCCCCACCTTCTAGAAATATGGTGGGCCCATATGCACAATGGATCCCCATGATATTTTTATATTTTAAAATTAATAAAAAGATTTTAGAATATTATTTGAATATTTAAACCATTATAAAATCAATAGCTTTAATTTTATAAATATAAAAATTATAAATAAAATATCCAAGGGTTCATAAAAATTCAAGTAATAATCTTAAAATAATTTTCATCATAAAACAAACACAATTAAATTAATTTGATGGGAAAATGATCCATATGGTTTAGGAATCAAGAATCATGGGCACTCCACCTTCAATTGTGGACTACAACCACACTTGCTTTATCGGATCGACCCATTGTTTTCTATGACCCATAGTTCAAGCAGGGGCTCATTAGCAGGTCACTTAAATCCGGCCTATGAGCCAAGGGGTCGCAATCCCAATCTGTGGATTTCAAGTCCCCCCTTAAAGACGAGACAAGGTCACCTAGAGCTGATGGGACCATAGCTCCTATGGTGCATAGAGGTCACCTAGAGCTGATGGGACCATAGCTCCTATGGTGCATAGAGGTATCTCTCACACATGATTATGCTTCATCCTAAAAGGTGGATTTCTAGCTTTCCCAAACGATCTACGATATGCATGTCGTATGATAACACATGGATAAGGCTTTGGCCCCCTTCTCTGTAGGCCACTATTACACACAAAGGTCCCATAGTCCCTCGGCTCACTCATCTAGGCATATTCGCCGACCTCATCAAGGGCTAACCCATTAGAACTCTTCTCAGTTTGTTCTTTATGCCCAGGTAATATGGGTTTTATCCAACCGACTGTCTTAGATCGTCAAGCACAGTCCGGTATAAACAAACATTGTTTGCTTAATATGATCCACGATGGACCACGCTCCCACTGCGCTCATGATCTACTATATCATTTCATTTTACAAGCACTCATAAAGCCTTTAAAGGCCACATAAACCCAACAATAAAAATACAAAATTCTTTCATGCTATCGCTATTGCTAGAAGAAGAGGCAATTCTATCCAAAATATAAAAATTCAAGGGGTAGAATATGAAGGTGGACTTACCCAAAAAATGTTTTGGTAAGTCATTTTAAGGAGACTTTCTTGGTTGATAATGGGATAAATATGGCTATTCAACATTTACCGTTTGTGACACTACCCCTAGATCAAGCAATTTGTCTAGAAAGAAAATTTGAGGAACAAGAAATTAAGGAGCAAGTTTTTTGTCCTAGGAGAGACAAAGCCCTAGGACCTGTAGAGGTGCCAAATCCAAATGGTTGCAACAAGATAGTTCCCATAGTCTTATAAGATTTGGATGAAGGTGATATGGTATGTTGTTTCTAAGATTGTTATCGTTCATATCACTACGAAGTTTAATAAAACATTATTTCATATCAAAACCTATACAAAATTACACAGGAATATCTCTATTTCAGAGTGCTCTCTCTCTCTCTCTCTCTCTCTCTCTCTCTCT